TGGGTGGGTGGGTGAGTGGTGGGCTGTCTCCGGGGTCAATGGAAAACGGCCCAAGTGATCTGTCACAGAGTCCGCTGTGCTCCTCCCACCGCTCAGTGGCTCCACCGTCCTGCCACAGGGACACAGTGACGCTGGCAAAGCAGGCACAGAGGGTCTCCTGGGCCTTGTTCTCAGCACGCCACCTTGCGTGTTTCCTCGCTGAATCGCCATAACCCTATGAGTAAGTCTTTTCATGTTCTCGGTTTTGCAGAGGAGGAAACGGGTGCTCAGAGCGGTTATGTTACTTGCCCCAAGGTTTCACAGCTGGTGTGGGATGGAGCTAGGGCTGGACCCAGGTCTAGTCCCAAAGCCTTTTCACTAAGCCTCACTACCTAAAAATGTGGACAAGAGGACATGCAGGAATTGGTGAGAAGATGTGGCCGTGTCTCGCTTCTTGACTCTTTAGACAATACCTTCCAACAGGTATTGGAAAGGGCCAGCACACGGCCGGATGTGGTGGCTCATGCCTATAATCCCAGCACTTTGGGAGGCCAAGGTGGGAGGACTGCTTGTGCTCAGGAGTTCGAGACCAGCCTGGGCAACATGGTGCGACCTTGTCTGTACAAAAAAATAAAAAATTAAGCCAGGCGTGGTGGCGCACGCCTGTAGTTCTGGCTACTTGGGAGGCAGAGGTGTAAGGATCACCTGACCCCAGGAGGTCAAGGCTTCAGTAAGCCCTGACTGTGCCACTGCACTCCAGCCTGGGCGACAGAAAGGGAGGGGGGAAGGGAGAGAAGGCAGCGCCAATGCCCGTTGGCAATGATTTGGGGGTTGAAGGTCGAGGACACTGGGGACACTGGTGGAGTCTCTGGAGGAGCTGGGGGCTGACGACAGGATGGAGTGCCCAGGCAGTCAGTCAGGAGTCATTTCTAGAGTTCCACCCCAAACATAAAGAGCCCACCAGGAAAACACAGCCTTTCCCTAAAGTGTTCATTCCATCAGCCCAGTCCAGGCCTAGCTGGTTTGTAGATATGTGGGCAGCACCCTCATGTTACAGAAAGGAAAACTGAGGCTGCAAAGGCCCCAAAGGAGATGCACCCACACCCCAGTGAAGGGGGCACTCCAAGGAGACCACATCCCTGACAGAGGAAGGGGGCCCGGCAGCGCTGCCTGACGGAATCTGAGCCACCAGGGGGCGCTCGTCCCCAGACCCAGGAGGACCAGCTTGGTCCTGGACTGCCTGGTGGAAGGGTGGGTCACCCGCAATCAATCCTAGCTGGGAGAGCGGTCTCTGTGCTTTGTCTGGGTTTTCTACTGAGAGGACGTATTTCAAATTACAAATAAGCTTGAAAGAATGAAAAAGGGGGCCGGGTGCGGTGGCTTACGCCCAACAGGAGCGGGAGATGGCCTGAGCCCAGGAGTTCGAGGCCAGCCTGGGCAACATAGCAAGACCTCATCTCTACAACAACGAATGAGCTGGGCATGGTGGCACACGCCTGTAGTCCCAGCTACTCGGGAGGCTGACATGGGAGGATCGCTTGAGCCCAGGAGTTTGAGGCTGTGGGGAATCATTTTCATGCTGCTGCACTAGCCTGGGGAACAGAGGGAGATGCCAACCCAAAAAACAGAAAAGAAAAGAAAAAGGGTAGTTTAAAGCCTGTCTGGCCCAGGACTTCTGAAAGGTGCCTGTGTGCTCCCAAAATGGGGCCTTGGGGTGTATCCACCACCTACTCCCAGGATGTGCTTCTAGGTATAGTCTTTTTTTTTTTTTTGGGTTGGAATCTCACTCTGTCACCTCGACTGGAGTGCAGTGGCCGTTCCCAGCCACCGCAGCCTCCACCTGCTGGGTCCCGGCGATCCTTCCGCCTCAGCCTTCCAAGTAGCCAGAACTACAGGCGCGCACTACCACACCCGGCTAGTTTTTGACTTATTGCAGAGATGAGGTCTCGCCAAGTTGCCAGGCGGGTCTCGAACCCGCGGGTTCAGGCAATCCATTCACCTCAACCTCCCAAAGCGCGGGATTACAGGCTGAGCCACCGAGCCTGGCAGGTATAGTCTTTTTTTTTTCTTTTT